AATCAAAACTTGGGGTCCAATTCATATGTTCAAAGTGGAGGCAGAAAGTGATTCACGTCGTGCCGCGACGTTAAATCAAGCGCTTGTTGGGAGGCAACCCAGCTTTATTGCTTTATTATTATTATTATTATTATTATTATTTTAATTGTATTATTTTTGTAGTGTCAATTTTTTTTATTTTCTAGGAGCATGGAAAGCAAAGGTATTGGAAGGATGCACCAACAAATGAAATGGTTGGACTAAGTGTGAGGTACCCGCACGAAGGACCAAGCTGGGAGAAGTCTGAGTACCCCATGAGCGGCTAGTGCTTCGGCCTTTGGCCTACCAGGGAGTTTCTTTTACCTTCTTGTATGTATGGATGTGCATTGGGGACAATGCACAATTTTAAGTGTGGGGTGAGGAGATTGTCTGGGTGGTTTTTCATGCTACTTTAGCTGTGTTCGTTTAATTAAATAATTTTTTTTAAAAAAGATTGGACTTTTCCTAATAACGGATCTTCTAGACAGTTTTCTTGAGGGAAGTAAGTCTAAAGAAAATACCAAAAAGATTTTTTATTTTGTTAGGTAGTATAGCAATTACTCCTTGATTTTTCTTTAAACCACGGTTCTTTTTCAAGGATTTTATTTGAACCGGGTGTAGTTAGTTTTTTTTTGGGGAATAGGAGCCATTATGTTTTGTTTTGAAATGAAGCAATATCTCTTGACTTTGTTATGCCTTGAGAATAGTAAGTACTTTGGTTGTGACGCGTAGGCTCAGTTTTTGACTCTTGTATAAGTACCTTAAATTGTATGATCTTAAATTTGCTTAACTGCTCTGACTAGGGTGTCTTGATGAATCCAATCCTGAGTGAGTTATGTGCCATGTGTGTGTAAGGTTTTGTGATATTCTGTGCATTGCATTTGATGCCTAGAACTTGTCCCGTGTGTTTGCAAAGCGAAATAGTAGTTTTATTCAGTCTAGGAAGTGATATAGGCATTTCTTTGTTGAGCCAGATATGTATATTTTACCCGCCTAATTATTATGTATCGTAGTTAACCCCTTTGAGCCTGTAATCCTGTTTCTTTGGCAACCACATTACAAGCCTTACCCATTTGTTCGAATTAACCATCTATTTGAACCATTGTAACCTCTCATGAGCACTTGAATTGTTTATGAACTTTGTAAAAGTTAAAGTGTGGGGTGGTTGGTTTGGCCTTTGAGTGGAACTAATGAAATAAGGAGAAAGGTGCACTGTTTTGAAAAAGGAAGAGCCACTTGAATTGAAAACAAAATAGTTGGATTGTTGTGGAAAAAAAAATCTTGATAAGTGGTGGCTCTTGACGTAAGTGTGCTTAAATAAGTATGGGGTAATATAAACTGATGTGAAGGTGGAGTTTGGTTTGACATAAGTATGGGGTTTGAATGTTAAAGTATATGTATTAAAATGCTTAGGGAGGTGTAGTCACTCTTATATCTAAATGTATCCTACCCGTCCCGTAGCCTACATTACAACCAAATAAAGTCCTAATTGATCCTAGATTGAATGAGCTCGATTAGTGGAGTAGTACACTACGGGCAAGCTTATTGTGCATATTTTGTGGCATATGAATGTTATTTCTGAGAGTGAGTGAATTCTTTCTATCTTGAGTTCCTAAGTGTTCGTAATTTTATTGTGTGAAACTACTCTCTTTTGTTGTGTGAGGGCACTTGATTCATGAAGGAAAGGTAATGTCAGTCACCTCTATATTAGAATAAGTGGGTGAGTTGTGAATAACGTGTGGTACTTGTGAGTCAAATCTTGAGGTGAAGATGTTACGCTTTTGTGCTTAGTCTATTTTAAATACTCTTGGTGTGATGAGTTAGGAGAATTGTTTGAAAAGGTCGTGTCTATAAAAAAAAAATATAGTTTGATTGCTCGAGGACGAGCAATGGTTTAAGTGTGGGGTGTTGATGATAGGCTATAATTACATATTTTAGTCGCTTATTACACTCGAATTTACTGCACTTTAATTGAGTTTGCGCTTTAATCGCTAGTATTTTGCACTAATTGTGTGTTTTATGCCTTGTAGGTGTGATTCCGAGCTATATAGATGTTATGGAATGAATTTAAGTGATTTGAAGCTTTGAAGTCTGAGTAAAAGCTCAAGGAATTAAGTCGGGATCGTGTTCGGGGGTCAAATTTGATAATTAAGTACGAACGAAGACTTGAGGAGGCATATTGCGCACTGTCTAGTAAAATAGATATAACTTTTTGCTCAGAACTCCATTTGGGCTCCACAATATATGGTTGGAATGTTAACTCAAAGGGCTACAACTTTCATGTTTTACGTTTTTCCAAATTCCAAACAAAACAGAGTGAAAAATCGCGGTTCCACCGCGACCGCGGCAGAACCACGGTAGAAGATGGTCGCGGACAACTGAAGAATCAGAGGGCATGTTTGGCTGCGGTTCCACCGCGACCGCGGCAAAACCGCGGCAGGAGGCGGAAATTTCAGGGACTTATGTGCAAAACACGGGATTTTAAGCCCTAAACCCTATATTAAACCAAGGAAGCCGGCCAAGAAAGGGAGGAGGATAGATTTGAGACATAGATTCGACCTAAGGAGGCAAGAACACATTGGGAGCAAGGCGGAGAATTCTTCTACGAGTTTTTCCTTCCTCTTCCTATTTTTCATTGTTGGTTATGACTTTTAGTATTGTAGTTTTACATACTATTATGAATAGCTAATTTGTTATCTAGAGTTTTGATAGAACCTTTTGTAGGATAAATTCTTGTTATGTTTTTATATAATTGAGCCATAGCGTTTCTCTATTTGTTCAACTACGTTTATATTCTGGTTGGTTGAAGAGCTCTCAATTAGCTGTGCCTATTTAGTATGCATAACTCGGGAGAGAGTGCATATTTAGGTAATTGTTGAACAACACCACTCCCAAAGTATATGAGGGATCAATAATCGAGGGTTTAAAGGCGGGATTAGGGATAACGAAGCCTTGGGTGCGATCTGAAGTGAGCTGTATTAAAAGCCAGCTAGCGTAGCTCGGGAGAGTGCGTCTAGTAAATCGTCGTAATTACTCGAGAGAGATTTACGGTAATAAGAGTGCTCATGATCGGTAGAGAATACTTAGGCGAAATTATAGAAGACATAGCGGGAAGGATTCCGAAAATTGGGGAAATCATAACTCTAGACCTCCTTAATCTTTTCTCTAACCCTCAGTATCGTTAGTTGTTAATTTACTATTTTAATTTGTTAGTTAATTATTTAAACAGAAGAATCTTAATATCTATAAGTTAGGAATTGTTCAAGCTTGTCTTCTTGGTGATAGTGAACAGCTGTAGCTAAACCTTAGTTCTCTGTGGGATTCGACTCCGGACTTGTAAACCGGATTATATTTGCAACGACCGCATTGTCCTTTTTATAAGGCATAGTTGGGCGTGATCAGCAACTTATGTACCTTGTCAGAACACGCTCACCAATGCTAAATGTTGATTCTGATGCTAAAGTGATAATATGAATTAGGGGTGTGCATTCGATTTATCGATTCGACTTTGACCCTTATCGATAATTACTTATCGATTTGTACATATGCTTATCGTTATCGTTTCAATAAGGTTTCGATTTTTTCGATTTCGATTTATCGATTTTGGGGGCTTATCGATTCGGTTATCGATTACACCAATAAGAAAATTTGTGGGATTCCACGGAAAGTATATCGCTATAAACGCGCCTAACTAATATGGACAAAAAGAAGCTAAAATAAGACGAATACCATTTATAATATAAAAATTGTGTCAACAAGCACATGCAACAAACTAAAGTAAGGGATCAAATGTATGCCACCAACACTCCAACGGTATAAAAAAAACAAAACAAAACAAAACAGATCATCACGGCTAATTCTGTTTTTCATTAATTTGAACTTCATTCCCTTGATCTTTAAATATGATCATTCCTTAAATGTGGTAGAGGAAATAATAGGGTAAGGGACTTAGGGTAAAGGAAAGGGTATAGATTAGGGAAAATAATATTGTATAGCCGCTATCAAAATAGTAACGGAATATATATACATTCTGTATGTTATATTAATCTACACAAATAGGTAATTACTCATTTAACAAGTGTCTACAGCCTAGGGGTGTGCATTCGATTTATCGATTCGATTTTGACCCTTATCGATAATTACTTATCGATTATCGATTTGTACATATGCTTATCGTTATCGTTTCAATAAGGTTTCGATTTTTTCGATTTCGATTTCGATAACAAATAATCGATTCGATTTATCGATAAACCGATTCGAATGTACACCCCTAATATTAATACTAAGTACATCACGCGCCATCACCGAAAGATCGGGATATTTTCTAGAATGGTCCTTTCAATACATGACAATATCTATCTCTTGGAACTTCTCAAGATCAAGCTTTGATTCCTCTAAGTAAAGATCCAATTCTGACTTTCCATCGCTAGAGGTAGTATACTTTTTATATTTTATATATTTTAAATAAATATTTGCCCACGGGCCAGCCCAACGCAGTCTCATAGGCCACAAGCTTACTCGGGCCGAGCTTAAAAGTCTCGTTTTTTTAAATGGGCTCCAAAAATTCTAGTCCAACCCTACTAAATCAAGGGCTGGACTGGCCCAACGGGTAAAGCCCATATTAACGGCTCTATTCATAATTCACTTTAGTATTTCAATTATGCCTGCTTAACTTCTAATTTCGCGTCCGGCCGAGGTGGCTTTCTTTTCTCAATACGGTTACTCAGTAGCTTTTAGCTTGATTAGAGTGGCAATATTAGATAACATACCATTGTTGGGAAATCACACATCTTAAAAAGCTACAATTATACAAACAAGTAGCGCAAAACTTTTTAATTTAGCAACCATTCAACTAAGAAATATAATACTCTTGGGGTTAGAGATATTCCACAAGAGAGGTTTCAGTGCTTGAAAATTTAAATCCTTCAAACCCTCATTTTCTCTGTTTTTGAGCAAACCAAAAAACATTCACAAGATGATAGTGTTTCAACATCTAGTTAACTGTAATATTGCAATTTTATAGAATTGCTAGAAGTCCATAACGGGTAACCAATAAGATAAAAGTGCAACAGGAGCAGGTAAACTTGTTCAACTTTTTGGTTATAAGTCACAATCTCACAGCATCACACAAGAACAATGACACCAACCATGCATGACAAAGGCCTAAAGTGCATCCCAACATTCTTTAATCTCAACTGATGCATTAATTGAGTGAGCTTTTACTCCAAACTCTGTCAAAACTTCAGACATTATAGATTGTCCATTCTCAATTGTCCTTTGGCACCTTACAGAAGGACTGAAAGTAAAATAGTACTAATGTCCATACTAGCAACCTTAGTTTGATCAATAAATGATGAAACAAACAGGGCTCATCTGTCAGGACGCTGGGTTGGCGTTGTGCCATCCTGTGGTGCATGGCGATATGCTCATGAACTCATCAAATTCTTTGACATGAATATCACAGCATTTCCACTGCAAATTCAAAGGACAACCGAGAACATGAGTTTTTCCGATGGTTCTTTGAACATTACCCACTAAAGACAAGTAGGGAGATATTTTACAAACACAGTGAAATATCAAAAAGTAATGCCTGGCACCCCAGAAAGAAACTAAACAAGATGAGTGTTTCTTTATCAACTTACTCCTCTCATTCGGTCATGGAAGATAGCGGGGCCAGGATGGTAACTGCAAGCAGTGTCATGATTTTCCTTTTCTGTGAAGGTCTTACCACAGCCCTTGTTTTTACAAATTTGGGGCTCGTTTATATCAACTTTCTTCTTCACGGGAGCAGGATGGCTTTGCTGTCCTGTATTGCTCTCAGAAGGTACAGATGTTGTTGTATTTGATGCTTTTGGAATTGCTTCTCTAGGTTGTGAACCTTAAAAAGCAATAGCAAGAACACTGATCAGAGTCTGGGCTAAAAGTAAAACAGAGTCCCTATATTGGGAGTAGAAGCAAAAGCAGCTTGAGAATGAAAACACACTTTTTCCTCATTAACAGCAACAAGTACCAGGTAAACTAGAATTGTCCTAGTCTTCCAAAGTAATTCACTAGATGAAGTAAGAAGATGGAAGACTACCGTGATCAGAACAAAAGAATCCCTGGCGGCATCTAGGACAAGCATCCTTCGGTGATACATTGGCCATAGAAGTTGGTGCGGGAATTGCTCTATTCCGGTTGGCAGCTGGCTTTGCTATCACTGGTTTTTCTGTTGTGTGCTTTCCAGTCTTACAACTGCACAATATGAACTTTGATTTTAAGGTTCCATTTCAAGCCAGTCAAACAAATCAAGCAAATTATGACTGTGTTTCATAATTCTTCCTACACTAGAGATAAGAAGACGAGGAGGATTGACAAAAGAAGTATGTTGTTCACTTATTACCTATCCCCCCAAAAAAATATGTTCTTTTCTCATTGTTTGGAAGAATATGAAGGGGATAAAAGAAACCAATAATCTATGACATGGACAGAAATGAGTTTCTTTTTTATCACTTAACAAGTATAGTGGAGGCAATACAAATTAGGAAATGGAAAGGGTTTCCATACCATTAATAAATGGCCCCACATATACCTCCTCAAACTGTTCAAATTGATAATGCCGGGCAAAAGCTCCCTGCATATTACACTATAACCCCCCCCCCCCCCCTCTTCTCCGTCGTGAAAAACAACAAAGAGATGCAAGGTTAAATTTGAAAATTAACGACTAATCTTAGAGTAAAAGTGTCTGAAATGTTTCCAGGGCTATCATAAAGAACAATTAAGTCCAGTAATTACACTATTCAAAGGAAGATAATGAGACAAATGGATGGAAAATAAAATGCAATGAGATTAACTAATTAAACCAATGCCTGGGTCAAAGCTTTATAATTTACCAGTTTCAACAGATTCTGGCAAACAAAAAGGTTACCACTATTTGGCACGAAAGTCTGAAGTAAAATAAGGAAAAGCATAAGGTGCGCACCCGGGAATTTCGAGAAATAAACTGAAATCATGACTGCTTTTCTTGCAACAACTCCACTTCTTCATTCCATCATGAAATAAAGGCTGCAAATATGAACTTAGATGATTAGCTGGATGTTTTAGAAGCTAAGGTATGTGCAAAGCAAGATAAGAAATCAGAAAATTGATTTCACTTACACCCTGATGCCAAAAGATCCAGCAAGTGCATTCACGTCCAATGCGGTTCGTGCAAAAGAAGAACAAATTTATCAACAGATGTTTAGAAGATAATGCATAATTCGCAAGCGATAATGTTCAACTCCACGGAAATGCAAAATTAACATAATACTTGAGATAACATTTAGATTGTCTCATACATTCCTGCAATAGTCTCTACATTCCAAATGATTATCATATTCTTGCATGTCTTTGCAGTAATTTCACCAGACATTCTGTTGACTATCTTTCTTTATCTGTAAGCAAAACTACATTCTGCTGATTCTTGATAAAATAAGCACGGTTTTCATAGAGTGACAAGGTTTGCTGAGATATTAATTAACTGTTACATTCTAGCCATGTACTATATAGGATTGTAAATATACATGCAATTGTGCACCTACATGCTACGCGGGGCTTGCAAGGACATAGGAAAAAGCTAGAATTTGAGCTATTAGTAAGCACTCCTGAGTTTTTACCTAGTGACCTTTCTTTATCCCGAGTTAAATCTGCTTCCAGAAAAAAAAAATCAGCAAATTTCTTACAACAAATTCCACACTAAGATGCTGCAAATGTTTCTTTCCCGGTTTCTACGACTGCAAAGAGGCTCCGTCCCCCCTAGTCTAAGAAAAAAAATCAATTTTGATTTTTAAAAGGTAGACCTAGGTGTTTGACTTAAAATGTTGCGCCGAACAATATTTAAGCAAATCAATCAAATGTATAAAAAGGGGTAAATCATAGCCAACCATAATTAATACCGAATTAAGAACTGAAGCAATAGGATAGCAGACGTAATAGAGATGACATTCAAGAGACTTTATTGATCATGAAAATTGGCCCTGCCTCTCCTTAGAGAGGTTCAGGGAATAGTAATCCATTTTCTATCCTCCAGATCGATCCTGCCTTTTTTGGGAGAGGTTCAGGGAATCCGTTTATCTCTCCTCTTCCGGGGCTTCTTTTTTGGAGAAGGGATATTCTTTTCCTTTCTTGAGAAGGAGAGAGAGAGGGAGAGAGAATGCCTCAAAATATCTGGAGAGCTCCCCTTAAAACAACTCTTTTCTTCCCTATTTATAGTTGGGGCCTCACGCTCATTGGGCCTTCTTTTGGTCGACCAGGTAGAGGGGGCGACCTCAACGCTTGCTTCGTGTTTGATGCGGATTGGGCGAGGTCAGGTTCGCTGGTCATTGCTTTGGGGAGCGTACTAGAGACGGAGTCGATACCACGACGGTCGTTTGGTCAGATTTCTCACCGATACAAGTTTATGAAGGATTTAGATCTGAAAGAACGAACCATCACAATGGACATTATCGATGTTTTCTTCATAAGGCAAATAAGCAGGCAATGACTTTTCCCATATGCTATTTCTTGATCAGAAGAATGGAGAACATCTATGTCCAACTAAAATTAGTTCCTCTCATTTTTTTGTTTTGTACAATTCATTTTCTGATGTAGAAAGCAGCTGCTTGCTTTGTGCACAGCACAACAGAATGAAAACTGACGAGATTCACTCAGTCCCACCTACAGAGATTTTGTTTACTACTACCATAAATCCAAACATTGAATCAAATTACATACAGTAAAACAATTGGATTAAGCTAAGAGCCAGAAATCCTTGTGACGTTTAGTAGTAATGAGATATCCTCCATACTTTCTGCTCTTCCTTCTCACAGCAATTGTCATGCACTTGGCATTCTGAATACAGTGTTCTACTACTCTGCCTCTTGACTTTTTCCCTGACCATATCCTGCGTAGGTGCCACATTATTGATCTTTTTCTTTGTCCCAACACCAGTAATGAGACTTTTCTTTGCTTGGCTGCTTCAACAATTACATGACCTTTTTCCTTCCCTTCTTGTACTGCTATCTCCACTTGGACCTGTTAAAACACAAATCATCACAATTAAAAGACAAGCCGATCTAGGGTTGGTTTTGTGAGTTCAACTTAACTCATTGCTTTCTACTTAAACCAGGAATGCATATGCAAAAAAGAAAAAGAAAATAACATGTAAAATTATACTCCAATAAGATAGGAGTAACATTTATTCTAAACTTATTGACTTTAAATTCTGAATTCGCATCTAACTAACATCAAGATTGAAATCAAATGCATTGTTCATGACATCTCTCTCACACACACAGCTGATTGAATGACTTAATAATGAGACAAATTTCTTAGTGGAAAGTAAACACATGCTAGCATGAAGCCAAAAAAAAAGTAGTAGGAGTTTACTTGTCATGTTGAAATGTTGCCTAGAGAAGAAGATTGTTTTTCCTAATAAGACTTGGCCAGTTGGCTTAGGCCAACTAGAAATACTTGACAGCACTTTTTAGTTAGGTTTGTTAGTAACTTTCCATGTGATTTGGTACGGACATATTTTGGACTGACTCTGCCCGCTGCATCTAATTAACACCACTTGGACATTTTCTACAGCTTGCTTAGGTGAAAACAATAGTTTTATAATTTCTGTGTCAAATCAATCAAAAACACAGATGCAAAGCAATTTCAGAACTTAACTCACCCCTGGTCTCTTTGTTTGGCACATACTTTTCATGGAGTTAACAAGTTCATAGGCCCTCTGATTAGTGTTTTCACCTACACAAATAAAAAAAAAGGATATTAGTATAACGAAAGAAATGTGGTGTTTTTTTTTGGGGGTTAAAAAAGAAAAATTTACATACATAGTTGAGAGGGCTTGGTTACATAAAGAAGAATAATGGTATCCTGGGTTTGAACAGTATGAGTAAGTGCCCATTGAAGAGCACCTTTGGCTTCAAGACTCTGATCAACCACAACCATGACTCTATTACTAGTGTCAGAATCTGGCCTAGACTCATCGCTGTTGTAGTTCATCTCAATGCTATTTTTGCTGGAAAATTCAGACTTGTTGTCATCGGATTTGATCAAACTAAGCGTCTTCTTGTATGGTTGACAAGGCGAACCGCGGGGTCGAACATGGACTACAGTTCGATTCATGCAAAATCCTGGTAACTTCACACGGACACGCATCATCTTTGATACTTTGATTTGTTCCAAAAATAGCTTTGGGGAGGGAAAAGAAACAGAGGAAAATTGGTGGTGTTTTGTGGGAAGTTTAGTGCTAAGTTCTGTATGTGATTTGGGATATGTTGGAAGGTGCGAGGGAAGAAGGGTGTGAATTTATATATGTTATGAGCCTTGTGACAAAACTTAGTGAGTTAAAGGTCATGCCAATCATTTTAATTGAATCTGTTTTTATCTTGGATTTTCCAAATGGTGGGGTGGGCTTCTTAGTTCCTTGACGTGCTTAGCATGAAGTTGGAGTAGACCCGTACTGACTAGTTGTTGAATTAAATGGTAAAAATAGCACGGTTTAGCTAGTTTTCGGACTGGTCATTCAAAAATAGCAGCGTTTACCAAGTCAATGAAAAATAGCTGCAACAGAGACCGGTCCAGCATAACATACTGGAATTCGGTGCACCTGTGTATGAACTTCCAGCATATTATGCTGGAACTCCAACACACGGAAAGTTCCAGCATAATATACTGGAGATTCGAGCACTTGTGTATGAACTTCCAGCATATTATACTGGACCGGTATACTTGCTGGAACTCCAGTATATTATGCTGGAGTTCTAGTGTACTTATGCTGGAACTCCATCATATTATGCTGGAGTTCCAGCATACCTATCCTGGAACTCCAGTATAATATGCTGGAGTTCAAGTATACTTATGCAGGAACTCCAGCATAATATACTGGTGTATTTTTCGGGTTTTGAACAGTGTTTTCGCTCAGATTTATCTTTACATGAAAAGTGGCTAAATTTCGATTACTTTTGAAACTGGGATATATTTGAACGACCACTTGTAAATATGGCTATTTTTGAATTTCTCCCATTTAAATGTTGTCACATTTAGTCAAATCTGATGGAGGAAATGTACATTTCAATTTCACCCAGCATTAGGATTGGGCATATATCGGGTAAAACCGATAACCTGAACCGTTAATTGTTTATTGGGTTATCAGTATCGGACTATTGTGTTAACGGTTCGGTAACAATTTAAAACAAATTCACTATTGGTTATCGGTTCGGGCCTCGGTTTGCCAATTTTATTAATGGGTTAACCGATAACCCAATAAGAATTAATAAAATTATGGGTCATCTCCTATTCTTTCTCAGCCAAACTCTTCAGTTGCTTCATCTTCATTCTTCATAGACCTTACTAGTTACTCCTAGCTTAAGTCTTTAGTTTATACATTAGGCTTTTAATTTCTATAACAAAATTCATCTTCATATTGGTATTTTTGACTGTTACTGATTTTTTATTTTTTTTATTTTCGTTTCTTAATTTTGTGAGCTCACGTTGTGCAACCTATACCTACTACCAGTTTCTCTTCGCACTTATCAATTCTCAATCGACAATCTTCGTCAGTCTTGGGTGTATTTTTGAACATTATTCTTCTGTACAGTACGCTGAGCTTTGACAACATGACAATATTTTCTTGCCTTCTAGGTATTTTTTATTTCTGCGTTAGTATTGCCCATGCACAGATCAAGGTTTTGCTCTATGGTTTCTTTTTTCAGGTTAGGCATTTGACAAACAACATCTAGTTAATTAGTGAAGCCTATAAGAATTGAGTAGTTGTTGTCTTGTTTACTTGAATTTGAACCATTAGTACTATATGTTTGGACTTGTTAATTTTAAGGTGAAATTGCTACTATGTATTATTACTAATGTATTTGGACAACTGTTGTTGAAGAATTAGTACTATTCCATTTGTGGCCACTGGACAGGACGCATAAATGGATAGTATACTATATGTGAATTTTTCTCTTTTTTGCTTAACTCTAGTGAATTGCCTTCTCTTTTTTGCTTAACTTTAGATTGAGTTATCTTATCGGGTAAACCGATAACCGAACCGATAATGATCAATAACGGATTAACCTATAATCGATAACCGATATCTTATCGGTTCGGCTACCAATTTATCAAATTATAAACCGTTAACCGATATGCTAAACCGATAATATTCATAACGGAACGGAACCGACCGATGCCCATCCCTACCCAGCATTACTCCTTCCGTCCCAATTTTAGTTGTCGGGGCAGAGATTTTTAAAAAATAAGAATCATTTATTAATCCGCTTCTTTTCCAAAATTAATCCTTACTGTTTTAATTAGTGAAATATTTATGGGGTATTATCACTTATAACCCGCGCAAGAAACTGTTTACATTCAGTAGTCAAAAAAGTATATAAAATTTGTATATTTTTTGTATATAACATACAAAGTGTATATATATACAAAAAAATATATATTTTTTGACTATTATTTTGAGAGCGGTTATACATTATTAACTCGTAATATTATTTATTATGCACGACAGTTGAAAGAAAGATAAATGGTAACTTAAAATAGGGACCGACAAACCGCAGCAAATGAATAATCCAAGTCAAACCGAGAAAAAAAAATCCGACTATGGTTTGGTTTGATATTAAAAAAAATCTCCGATCATAATTGGTTTGGTTTAGTTTTAACTAAGAAAAGTCAAACCGAAACCAAACCAACTCAATATTACATGTATAGAAGTTTTAAATATATTTAATACATAAAAATATTTATTGTAGTATAGCTTATAAATATTTCTTAAACTTTTTCATAATTTTATCTTTTAACGTATTATTTCAAGCTTGAACTTATAATTTTTGAATGCTCCAATAAGTTTTATGGTCCAGAAATATTAGTAACTCAAATTAATATTTATGCTAACAAAAGACATTCAATTCAATTGTACTAGGAATGACCATAGTGTTGGATAATTATTTTTTAAGGCTTTCCATGGTTTAGATAAAATGCACAGCTTAATTTTTCTTTAAGTGTTTAGTCATGTAAATAATAGTAGTACTTACTAGTCGTACTAATTTTAGCAACTTAGTAATTTTAGATTATGTTTATTTTCATTATGGATTATTAATAATATTTTTTTATGTGATTTTGTTATCTTTATAGTTGAATATTTTAATACCATGTCATGACTCATCTCATATTTTATGTTATTTTCTTGAAAAACGCCTTATGTAGTAATGTCTTACTAGGATTTAAAAAATATTTGGAGCACAAGTTTTATGTTTTGTGCTATGAAGACTTCATAAAAAAAAACCGAGAAAAGCCTAGATATAAAATTCAACATTTATTTGTTTGATTTGGTCTTTAGATTTAATAACCCGATACAATTGATTTGGGTTGGTAATTGAAAAATTCGAAACCCCTAACTTAAATAATTACTTTTATGATTAAGGCTATTATATGTTTTTTAAAGAGGTATCCAAGAACGCTTAAAAAACAAATGATATGGATTGAAGGTAGTAACAGGTTCCTTCATAGGCTGGACTCAATATCATTTTGTTTGACATTTCAAAATGAGAAAATTGGGTTTTCCTTTTGATGAAATATAGAGAGTGGGTTATAGTGATATGACATCTTATATTCAGAGAAAATGAAAACAAGAACTTCTGTGTAAAGATGTCACAACATAAAAGGCAAAATAATGGAATATTGAGATTTTAAACAGTTGCGATATTATTGCGACACAGTAAATAACAATTCATATTTAATAAAATTTAAAACATGTTCGCTTGTCACATTATTAATCTAATGGTTTATGAATTTTTAACGAATCTTTTGTAACGTTAGGTGCTGGAAGGAATAAGATTATCTTGTTTTTTGATTATCTGGCAAGGGCGTGAGGAGCTGTTTAGTCTTAAGAGCCAAACGTGGGCAAGATTTAGCGGTCGGTATCACAAGATTACAATTCGTAGTCTTTTTCTATTTTATATTGGTACAAATCCATGAATGCTGATTTAGGAATATAACATAAATAAAGGTGTGGATGGAGTAGTTTATGACAATTCTGTTCAATTGCCCTTCCTCCGTAATTATACCAAACTATTTTAAGCTCAAATGTAATGCCACATACTCCTACATTTTTGGTAGAGCACCAAATACGTAGGATACTGAGTCAATCTGTTGAATTTATCACAAAAAAGGAAAACCCAAAAGAAAAAAGTCAACTTTATTTGCAAGCTGTAGTTTTATTAAATAGTGTTCATTCTCTTTTTCCAAGAAATTGTAGTCTATTTCCAATAATGTTAAGCTTTAACAGCATCAGTGTCTGCCCGACCACATAAAGCCTAAAATTGTTTATGTTATTTTGTTTGGATTAGGAAATTTAGAGCTAGCAGTTCGGCGAAATTCCATATTCCACTGTTTCAATCATGACTTGCATGCATTTTTCATTGTCTTCTTTGTGTCCAACACCTAAATGCCCCAACCTCCACCCACCAGGAGAATGTCCCAGTGGAGATGTTTAGGTCACATAAATATCAGTTTCATGGGTAAACTCTTATCCAGTGCTGGAGTCAATTTTTCACATGGGTGACAATGGGGAGATTCAAGTCTAATAGCCTTTGGCCAAACTTCTCCAAACCTAAAAACATTTTTTTTTCTTCAAAAAAGTGCTTTTTTTCAAAGTTAAAGTGTTTGGTTAAGATTTTGAAAGAAAAAAAAAGTGCTTTGAGGAGAAGCAAAAACAGTTTTGGGGAAGTAGAAAAACTAGTTTCTCCCCAAAAATACTTTTTGAAATGCACTTTTGAAAAAATACACTTATAAGCACTTTTTAAAAGCTTGGCCAAACACCAATTGCTGTTCAGAAGTGTTTTTCAAATTAATTAGCCAAAGACAAACTGTTTCTCACCAAAAGTACTTTTAGGAAAACACTTTTGAGAAAAAACACTTGTGAAGAATAATCTTATTTTATAAACTTGGGGCCAAACAGGCTATAAGTAACATAGATTTTGGACTGAGAAACGTGGCCGCGGACCATTTTGGACAAAATCCAGTAGGAGTCAATGTCTTTCATGATAGTCCCTAATAGTCAATTCGAATACTAATTAGTACTCCGTGTGTCTCAATTTATGTGGCATCGTTTGATCGGACAAGAAGTTCAAGAAAGAAATGAAATATTTTGAAAATTATGGTCTAAAATAAATCGAGATTGATGTGACTAAAAACATCTCATTAAGGTTAAAGTAAATTTTTTGAATACATTGTTTCTTAATATAAAAAGTGATATTCTTTTCAGGACAAACTAAAAAGAAAAAAGTGTCACATAAATTGAGACGGAAAAAGTATTAATATTCTGCAAAC